TGAAAACTTGTACGAAAGAGACAATGTTCTGAACCCGTGTAGAATTTTGCACAACAGAGAAATCGGTTATGCAAAGCGTTTGATTTACTATGATGCGGTCTATTCCGCTGCGGTACTCTCCATGGTGAGATTATCACGTATAACGTTGTGAGAGGGGCTTCTGAAATTGCGCTTTATCATAAATTGTCTTAGTGGTTATGTTAAATTCAATTCATTAAACCCAATTCTGAGAGCGCCTCAGCCTGCTCGTTCCATTGTAATCCGTGTTTACCAAATTTCTTTCTCCGGACGTTCTCCTGGGTGCAATCATAGCGTTGAAATCTCCAATGGTGACTTTAAAGAATGCATGGTCTTCTCTGTAAAACTTCTCCAACTCGATGTAGAACGCTTTGACTACGTTTCCGCCATAGCTTAATGTCGGTGCTTATACTGCGAAGATTGTCAGAGGCAGTATTGATCCACTATTCTTCAACCGCAAACGCCCGACTCTAATTGTTTGTTGTTCGAATGAATCGATGTTTATCGACAAATTCGTGTTGACGAGTACGCCGGCGCCACCGTCGCATGTTCCGAGGACCAGTCCTTCTTCGGTTTCACAGACGGCGTTAAATGTCTGGCGTCTTCTCGCCTCGGCGAGACCGATGACGTTGTACCTTATCCTTCTTGCTTGCATGATCAAATGTTCTATCGCGGGATCTGATGCAGGTATGCGTGCATTGTAGGTACATATCACCGCCTTAGTTCTTTGCGGTTAGGCAGCCTAGAACTGTCCTGAGACCCTAGGAGTTTCTTCTGCTCGTCTTTTCTAACACCGCCTTATCAGGGGCTCTTTAGGGGTCAGGGAAATGAGGTTCGTTTGTTTTACTGCATTCAGTGTTTTATAACCAAGCATAGCTTGCTGAGCACTGAACATGGGGACTAGATGTACTTAAGTGTAGCTTGCTAGTCTCGCCTAGAGTAGACGTGAAGCTTATTTTTTGGGGCGATTCCCGCCTTTTATGTATTTCGTCGCTTCTTGATTGCAGACATTTGGCTGAATTGACTCGCAGAATACAATCCGCATAAATGAAAAAACATTCATGCACACATGCGTGAATACGTTCTTGTAAATACAGAAGGTATGTGCCAAATTGGCATTCATCTGCGTCTCAGGGAGGAAAGTTCGCTTTTAAACCGCGATTTCCCCTCCGCCCGTCACCTATGGGCGCGCCACGTTGCCTCGCAACTAAGCGGCACGAGATCCTTCTTCGAGGGAGAACCGAGGTACATGGAGTCATCTAGAAACAAAGCAAGGAGACAAGGAACATTATTTTTTTGAAGGCATAACTTACAGAATAAAAGCCTATAAATAGTAATTTCCTACTATGAAATATTCTTTCTGATACTCGAGCTGCGATCAAGGTCAAAAACATCAGAGCGGCTTTAAGACCAGAACACGTCGCAGAGATTTAGAAATGAACTCATGGTGAGGAAATACGCGTGCTTCTCGATGCCCAAATTTGACAATTCTTCTGAAGAAAAGTATCCCAGATCAGTGGAAAACTTCGCGAACATTTGCTTAAAACTACCTTTATCGAGTATTTGGAAGAATTCACAAAGTCGGAAGTAAATTGGTTGCCTGTACATGGAGCGTGGACATATCTTCACGACATTTAAGCTCCTGCATTTTATGGTATTGCCATAACAAAACTCGCTCCCAAAAAACGAATTAAATTACAGGTTCACAATGTGACCATAATATTCCTTTGCTTCGAATTCTGAGGATATTTGGCCTTTCTGCAAGATGTACCATTCTGCACGAATGACCATCCCATATTGACCTTTGTGGCTAAAGCGATATCAGTTAGACAGGCCCTTCAACTTAAAGTGAACTGTTTACTTTTATCAAGGCTATTACTATTGAACCGACACTTAGAATGGTGAAACTTACAGCGCAGTCTTAAAAAGACGTCGAAGGTAAACTGCTTTGACGCTGTCATTACAAGCCTAATATGAAGGTGACTATAGTTACATAAATCCAATATCCATTAGCACTCATTGCTTCATGAATCACAATGAAACTGAGTTAAGTAATAAATAATCTATTTGGCCCATGACTGCCGAGCGTATGGTCTAGACCTTTTGTTACGATGACAATACCTCTATAAAGCTAAGAGAATTCGTGCCATATTAGCAACAGCAGCCAAAGAAAGGAATCTGAAATAGTCTCAATAATAGTGATTTCGCAATATTATAAAGTCGAGCATAAGTCTTCATCTCCTTTTTTTACACACTTTCGTATAAATATTATGCAGTGGTAATAGCAGAAGTGGAAAATGAGCGTAAAATCGTACCGAATCCTTGAAATGTTCACATGCTTGGAGAAATAAGGCTTTCATGAGACTATAAAATCAGTTCCTTAGCGGAATAGAGTACACTGCAAACAGAAGCACTTGTTGCTTCATTTCTGTTCCATTGCACTTCCATTCCATGCCACTCGACAAATGAATCAGGTGCCTATTACCGCAATAAATCCCCAAAATAAACATTGTTAATTCAATGAAGGCTTCAATAAAGAAAATACAACCCAAAACACTTGACTCCTTCACCGTTTTGGTACCAAACGCGAATGGGGAAGCGCCAAGGTTAAGCCCTATATATCAGTTTTGCATTAGTACAGCTGGGAAGAGTGCGCAATGTAGACTTCAAAGCTCTGGAGCAAATCGGAATGCAACCGCGAATTCATTGGCAATTTTGACCACAAAAAACGTGCGTATCAAAAGCATTTTTCCAGAACGACCAAATAACTAAAATTTTAGCCAACTAACCATATTCCTTCATTATCAAGATCCAGATAGCGTTCCAAGAAGTCACCGATGCTGAAAGATTCCCCATATTTCTGAAAATTCCTCTGCGCGCTCTTCACACCAGTTCCACCATGGCCAAGCACCTCTATGGTCCATCCCTCCAAATCAAAAGTATCTATATTACCGGAGAGCGAAGACTTGAAAGTAGATCCTTATCGAAGAGAAATAGTTAATATAGCTAAGTCTATCCATGCACTCGCCGCGGTCCACCCAAAGTGACATAAGCCGTCAAGCGTAATTTTCACTTCAAAATAGTACTTCCCTTGAAGTAAAACTTTAACGATACTGAGATATTTGCAAAACACCGAACCGCTGATGTGTGCGGTAGGTCCGAACACGCTGTTACTCTTTCCACATGGTGTGGTGGTGAATGCTTTAGCACCCGGAGAGGGTAATAGTGTGTTCGATCCCCACCGCAGGTACCAGAGAATAGGAGTTTTGCACATGTCTCAGCATCGTTATAGATATACATAAAAATATACATTTATATGTGTATATATACGCATATAAACGTACACATGTGCATAAAGAAATGCATACACATGCATATATATATGCATATGTATATATACATATATACATATATATATATATATATATATATATATATGTAAAGCTTTGAAACTCAAAACTAAAAAGTGGAATTGATGTAAATGTAAAATAAAATTGTAATCAGTCTTGATTACTGCTTCTAAAGAGAGGCACTGTTAAGAGATATTGACGAGCTCGTACTCTGCGAACACCAAGCCACCGTGAAGAAGTGCCCGCAACGACCAGACATCTTATCACTGTGGAAAACTCTCCCTAGGTGTTGAATTGCAGCGTTCAAGTACTGACATTTTTGCTTCGGTTCACCGGCCACAGTTGTGATGCATACTTTCTTCAAAAGCAATCTTCTCTCCACGTCCATGCGTAAAGTGGTCTTTCGTTAATTATCAAGTGAAAAAAAACAGACTTCCTCGAGCCATAATTGGTATTGCATTTGTAAGATAGGCTATCTATGAAGTACAAATGACGTGGTGAAAAAAATCTCAGTACTGCAATTGTCACTGCAGTGGAGGCGTGCATAAAATTCAATACGCCTGGTCCAGTACGAGTAAATTCATAACTACTCTCCGTATCAATAAAACTGGATACTTCCGAATTAGTTTGCAAAATTATAAAACATGAAAGCCAAAAATAATCTTTTCAGCTAAGAAACTATTCGATTTGCAAAGCAGCTTAAAATTCCCTTGTTATGAGTAGTGCGATCGTGAATCCACGTGTTAAGCCTTCCTATTTGGGCTAGTTATTTGCCAAAGTAAACTGGTAAATCTAACTTCAAAACATTCGTCTCTGTATTTTCGCGTTCTGGTTCTATTTATTATTGTAGTTTCCTAACTTCAAGCTTCCCAATTTAGGTATTCTTTCACCCGGTCTATGAGCGGTCTACCAGTTTTGTCCCTAGATTCGTCATCCCACGCTTTACAGAAACTGTACTCTACCTGAATTCGTGCAACGTATGTTTTCACATTTAAGACAAATTGTACAGTTTTATGCTATCATTCATAGAAGCGGCTAAGAACTGATCAATATCGCAAAGTATTCGGCGATAATCCAGTACCCGCTACCAATCCCTTTACGCCAGGATTTTTCATGTACCATTCATTAACGTTCTTGTCTTTCTTCATGGAAATGAATATTGACTCAACTACGACTTTTTTCATCAGGATGATTGTGATTTTGATGTGAAGTTTCTTTTAAGCCCTACTTATTGATCAGTGATAATGCTATTAGAAAGTCTGCCTTGTGATATCTTGTGCGAGCTTCCTAAGCCGAGAATTTATGTGGTTGCCAGGACAACGTGTCTTTGCCGGATAGTCAGTGGCGAATCATCTTCGCTCGTTCTGAGACTACACCTCTCTGACATTAATAGTTCCACTGCTATCATTCGTATTAATGATACCTTGCTAGAGAAACACATAAGACAAATCATTAATCGAATCTATGCGAAATCTCTAGAGAAGTACATTTAACTCGTATTATCACTAAAAGCTACAACTCATAGCTCTACATCTACTTGCCATTTATTGGAAACCAACGCTAAGTCAAAAATTTATGGAAAACTTTGCGTAAATAAAAGCAACGTTTTTTTTCATTTTAGAAACACATCAGATGATCGGAAACAATATTTTCTGGAGACAACTCGGTGAATATGTCAATAACTATGGATTAGCGATGATCGCTGTCACTATAATGGTGGGTACCTTGGCGTGGAAGATTAAAAGATAATGTAACATAAAACAGTTAAAAGCGCCTTGTTTGCCCTTACTGTGCATGTTTTGCGTCTTTTTTCAACTTTTTGACTGTCTTTTTGTTATTGCTGTTTTATTAGATTGTTACTGAATCAACGGTGTTAATACGGCTTCAGAGCAGCATACTGATCGGCTACGCATTACATTATGTCGTAAACATCTACCCAGCGAAGCGTACACAAATAATGGACACACTGAACAGTGAAGAACCCAGTGAAGATCGAAAAGGTAGAGAACAATCTTATATTGAAACTGTTGGACGGTGGTTTCTGCGTTTTCCTCAGTTTCTGAAAAAACCATCATATAGTTCGCGCTTACTATAGTGATTTATGGTGTTCAGCAATACACACAGAAGTTCTCTGATTCATTTTCGTGCGTCCTGTAAACTATCTTCTTCATGCATCCGCTGTTGGCAAATTGCTGCCACCCCGGCTTGGCATGAGAACAGTACTTACCTGACACATCTATCGGTAGGCTACCGCAACTCATTGGACAGATGTACATTGAACCACTTTTACGACTTTTGACGAAGTCGAATGTACAACGCACCGCTATGAGCTTTATTAGCACCGAATACTTCATCCTCATCCTTACCATCACATATGTAGTGTGCACATACCGACTGCTAGTTTCCATTTAACTCTCAGTGACTTCTGAGTGTGCCAAGATTTCACGAGTTTCATTCAACGTTGTAGCTGTGGTAGTAAGCAACTTCGTATTTATCGTTCGACGAAACTCTTCGTCAGTCAGCATGTAAATTCTTCCACATCAAGTCAATCAACCCCTACACATTTTGTCATGCACATTATGTCTAAAGTTGAATCACTTTGTAGAAGTTCATTAGATTGTTGTCATTAAAATACTGGATAAAAAATACTTTTTCGACGTCTGCAAAGATTATTTTGAATATATTAAACACCTTGTAGATGAACCTACGGAACTTGTCAGCGACACATTACGGACAGAAAAACTGAAGCAAGTTGGCATTGTGCAAGGAGTGATAAATAATGATCTGGTGAGTATTCCTAGTTCACCCTGTTATGTCGATAATCAATGTTGCCTTATTTCACACAAACGACGGCCATTAATTAACTTGTTTATCATACTCGACTTTTCATCCACAAAAATTGTTGGTTTATAGGTTAATCTAACCTCTTTAATCTCAACCCAACCAAAGACGTATTGCTACGACGCCCATATTTTAACTCTTAACTTCCTACTTAAAATAGGTGAACTCTCTTGCACCTATGTCACCTGCACGAGAATGGCAACTACTCCATCTTCTAGAAAACTGTAACATCACAATGTTTAACGTTTTTGTTTTCTGCCTTCTATAATTTTCATGGCAGGTTACTAAGCGAAATACAACCACAACGTTGATTTGCGCTCTCCAGATCAACCCCGCTGACGGGTGATTGCTGTGGCAAAAAGATCGATAGAAATAGCTGAGAGACGTGCGAAACAAAGGACCCGCATGGTGTGGTGGTGAACGCGTTACTCCCCGGAAAGGACAATAACGCGTTCGTTCCCCACCATAGACATCTGCGGTCCAGAGTTTTGCAAATATCTCAGCAACGTTGTGACTGTAACATCACTTTAAAAAAGAAAATCTGACCATGTTTTGGACTGCTATATGGAGTACTAACAAAAGCCGCCTCTATTCAATACTGAAGTATAAAAGTCTGTAGATAAGAAGTCGACTGTGAATAAAGACTAACAAAATAACCACATGCCTACAAATGGCACGATAACGCATTGTCTTGCCAGAACACAGATTTGACTCAGTTTATTGTCGAATGCTTCACTTCGCCAAGAAGAGCATGCGAATTGATTGACGTCAATAGTAGGTTCTAGTGGGTCTTAGTGCTGTCTTGTTTCGGCCGCTAATGTATTAACTATTAAAAGAGAGATCTGAAATAATTTCCACTTCTCAGATTGTGTCCGATCCTAAACAAGGCCCATTAATCGCATGTCCTAAACTTTACGCAGCGGAGGGGTGGCCACGGTAGTCAGAATCCCGAATCTCTTACAGGTTTCTTCGGCGAGGAGCGCAAATAAAGAGTTAAATCTGCACCTCACCGTCTATGATGTGTGTTTAATGAACGCAACTAAACAACTGGTTTTCTTCCGCAGCAAAAATATGTAAGCTTCATCGTTTGATGTAAAAAGAACACTGGGAACGACCGAATACTAGGTGTTCATAGGTTTAGAACTGTAAACTAAACAGGTAAGCTATGAAGAGGATCCCGGCCTTTCCCAATTACAACGTTTAAGTCTACAACATCGAATTATTTGACCTTTTTCATAAGGATCACCTCTTCCGCCTTTCCGCCAGATCATAAAACGTGTTCGTGTTCATCAAAGGCACATGTTGGTAAGTAAAATTTAATGATGATGATGATTCTTTTACGTAGACAATGCAGTCAGAGGATTGCCGAACGAGATGAAATGATCTATGGAGAGGGAACGCTTAAGCACGGCATGGAGAGGGAACGCTTAAGCACGGCATGGAGAGGGAACGCTTAAGCACGGCTATCTCAGAACTCCAGACAGAATTGATTCGACCACCATTAAAGACACTCAAGATGAAATGAAAATCTTCAACCAACAATCGAAGCCTCAAGTAAAAGATGGAAGCCCTTCGTGGATGATGGTTGCGACGAAACCAATCGGACTGCTGTGATCCACACTGTAGACATGAAAACGGGTCGTATTAATTTTAAGAAAATTTAAGAATTCAAAAATTTCTCGATATTCTTGTTGAGCGAAGTGTTTGCTTTATTCTTTATTCCATTAAAGCTGACTTTTTGGAAATATGGCCTTCTTCAGACCCTGGAAAGGTATATAGAATTCATGGAATTCCAAGTGTAACATTTGCAGTACAGTAACAGAAATTTCTAAGGGGATCCTGCAAAACTAAAGCTAATCAAATGTGCAAGAGTATTTCATATTGGTAAGTGTTGTAACAGCGAGCCATTGGTAACCTGACTTGCTTTAGAGTCAACAATTTTCCGAGTTAATGCAGTATTTTTGTCTTCCTATAAAACGGCTGTATTAGATTTGCATGATTTGGAGGCTAGGTGATTACAGGTGTCATCATTACGTAGAATTCAACATGAAGGTGACAGAGTTATTCCCTCGAACAGCATCAGTGGTATGTTGTTTACATTGTTTATCGCAATGTTTTTGAAAACATCAAGGAATCCACTAATTTTCCCCGTTTTAAAAAGAATGTTAGAAGACACAAGGAAGAAACTAATCCTCATTGAACCCAATAAATGTCAAGAAAGTTTAATTTGTTCAGAAAGCGAAAGAAAACCGGTTTCGCATCGGAGAATGACCGAAATCCCTTCTTTGGAAAATGAAGAGGCTGACTATCTGGCAAGCTATATTGTTGCAACTTAACTGGTGCTTGTATTTTCGTTTCAAACACCTTTACAGATTGATACACAAAACAGCCGCAAGAAAAGATCAGCAAGCCTTCATGAGGTTTGTTATAAACCTTATTATTTAGATTATAACAAAATTTCAAAACAAAATCACGTGTTGAAAAATGTATACTGAAACTGTCATTGGGTTGCTCAGAAACTAACGCTCTTTTTGCCTTTCGCACCTTCAAAGCCAGACTCATTATGTCCTTGTAGGTAACGTTCCATGCATTTGGCTTCATTTTCCACTATATTTCTATGCAGCAATGACAACGTGAGTCACATATGTATCGTGGATGTTGCGACATTTTTATCGCCTTACGTCTGTAAATGTGAAATTATCGCAAATGTGTTAAACACTTCATTGGACCACCGAAGCGCTAATTGCTCAATGCTCTCATGACGGAGATGGTAGCCGTGCATCGATTGCATACGACAAGCTGTCATCGACGATGTATGCCATGAAAATGCCATTTAAAGAAGATCCGCATCCACTTGCACACAGCTGTCTGAGAGAGGTGATAGATGTGCTTGGAACGTTACTGAACGACTAAATATGGGCTAAATAGCAAAACGTCTATCGAAGTACCAAAAAAAAAGTGCAAAACAAAGCTTGGGGAATCGGTCATGTAAAAAACGAGAAGAAAGAACAGAAACAGCGCACGAATGAAATTCGTGCTCGTTCTCTCAACAAAAACTGATTCCTTTCTTTATCGTATTATGAAGTGCAGCACGAAGTAGGTTCTTTACAACGAGTTCGAGTGCCTATTATTAAACACAGTTCTCAGAAGTGTTTGATAACATCGAGCACTAACCTGTCAAAAAATTGGTAGTTTACTGACATTCTTGCAACGCTGTTCAATTTCATGCTCACCCGCCGCCACTTGCCAAAATGTGCAAAAGCATAGAGTGGTCACCTCAGTTCAAGCAGTAGTCAGACCATTTTTCGCTCGCGACTGCGCTTGGCATGAATAGATTCTATTAAACCCTTTATATAACTTTAGGACTAGTTCTTACATACGTGGCTTAAAATATCTTCCATTTTGAAACATGTCCATGATGTTTAGCATTGCAGTGAGTGCCACTGCTGTGCACCGAAATGTATTATAATATCGTGCAAGTGATTGGTACACAAACATAAAATTTATGCATGTCCGACGAAATTTTAAAAAAATAACGGTAGTCCTTCGATTTTTGTCCTTAGCGAAAACAGTGCTCTGTGTTCTACTATATCTGAGTAATACTCTTTCGGAAAAGGATCTGTTCAAGACTATGGGAAAGTTGCATGGAAAACTTGCAACAGCACAACTGAGAGCCCGTACCAAGAAAATGCAAGAGGATATGACTTTGGAACAGAGAAACGATGTGAGTTCTTTACTCTTGGAAGATGTAGCTTTAATGAAATCCATATGACTACTGTTTGCAGGAGGGTCGTACGAAGGCGGAGCAACTTGAATCAATCATAAAACTTATGATGCAAAATAAGGAAAAGTTCGGCATAACAAGTGAAGACGACATTAATGAACAGTTGAAGATGTACAATTTCTAACTTTATCATCTTATAAAAAGCAATTTATTAAAACTTTGGAAGACTTGATCTGGGTGACTCTAGATGCTCTAGAGTATCATCAATATTCACCATTGAGTCCGTAATATGCTCGTTTCTTTGTGTTAGTGTTGTGTTTTGCATGAATTCTTGGTTGTTATAAGATCGTTGTCTTGGTGTTACAATTATTCCTACCAACCCTCAAAAGAGGTCACACTGTTGTCTATCCCGTGTGGTGTTTGCTTCCTTTATTTTAGCCTATCACACGATACTTTTGTAGGTGCCGTAGTCCGAGCCCCAAATTTACGTAGTTAAACCTTTCTGTAATAATTTGAGCATAACAATAAAAGTGTAACAAGGTTAATAAATTGACGTACAAAAAGATTTGCAGCAAATTATGAACAAATAAAGGGAAAATAAATAAGGAGGTGCACCTAAAACAACGTGAAGGCATCCCCAATGAATTCATGATATATATATATATATATATATATCATATAAAGGTGTATCATATAAACATATATTTAAACATGTGCTATGTTTTATTTATAACTTCGCAACGGTTTGCCGCCTCATTGTGGCTGAGAGGTGTTCCCGAGTGTCGGGCTGCACAGCACAGCAGGAGGATTCATCTCCTTCGCAGGGTCACGCGAGCTCAGAAGGAGTCCGGCGTTTCCATTAGGATTTAAGAGAAAACCAATACCCAAGATCCTCCACCATTCACGTATCAAACCTGTCGAATGGTGGCGAATTTAACGAACAACGATTGAATCTAAAGGAATTCCACTGGATCCTAACGCTGGAATATAGGTTTATTGCGCTTGTAAAACCTTGGAAAGTTACCTTTGCTTTCATTTGATAAACCTCGTTGGTGAGATTGTACGTTATAATGAGTTCAAAATGTTTTTATTATCTTCTCACATTTTCAGGATATATTTCTCAACAGTTTCTGGAACAGAATGGATTCCTCGCTAGAATTACTCTACCCAAAGATGTCAGTTGTCAGTGCCACTTCGTCTCGCCTAACTAGAAATTATTGCTTTTGAAGCGCAGTGAAGTATTTGTTTTATGGAATAACTTTGCCAAAGTTCTTTAGAGCTTCCCCATTAACAGAAAACTATAGTTGAGCTAAAGCAAATGAACGTCATTGCGCCAGAAGAGACGTAGTCAATGGAAAGACTTTTTCTATTCAGAGAAGCCGTCGAATACTTTTGATGGCGATATTGGAGTGACATGAAAACAGGCTCATCGCGATTTCAAAGAAAAGCTAATCTTGCCAGAAACATATAATAAGTATGGTAATATGGAGGCACGCATAATTAAAAGTCTTGTGACTTGACTGGAAGAATGGCAGCACTGACTTGATGGATCGGTAGGCCACCGCAAGCCTTTGCACAGGCTAGATGTGCATTCCACCAATTCTGATCCTTGATAAAGTTGACTGCATAACGTACCCTTTAGTTATTGACTCATGCCGAGAGCTTTATCATATCATCCCGATTACGAAGTGGACCTAGTGTAAGTCTTATTAGGTTGGCGTAATTCCTGTAAACTTTAAAATCATCAATCACTAATAATTCGAAGAAATTATCCAATGCATAGTTTCTTAACATTTCGTGCACCAAGGAGAGATCTGACAATACCAAACTTACGGTTGATCTGATTATACAATTCAGTAGTTTGCTTCTTGCGGTACTTAGTATAGAAGCTGAGTCATTTCTCGTTGCTTGAGAAATAAAAACATTTATCGCTGGCAGCAGTGACATTTGTACAACATGTGGAAATCAAAGTAAAACTATAATACAATGAAAACTTCATACTGACTATGCAGCGAAAAGCAAGGTGTTCAGAGTGGTACTTCAGTTTTTGGGGTGTCCAATATCAACGAATTCAATGCGTAATTTATGTTCTCCGGCAAGTTGCTATACATGTAAAATTGTAGAAAAACACGTTCCACATGAAGATAATCACTCCAGGACTATAAGAATCAACTATAAACGACGTCATTACTCACTATCATATCCGACACCCGTGTTTGGCACCAAATACGCGAATGTACCTATTATATACATTAATGATATCTCACGCAAAAAAGACCCTAACGTTTCAAGTACGAAGTTTATAATAAAAAACAGGAGATTCAGAAATATGTTAAGAAACTTGTGGAGATGGTAAAAAAAATGGTGTCCAGCTTTAAAAACTCATAAAATCAACGTCCCATCGACTTCTCGCCACTACCTTTACGTTCTGCATCGCTAACGCTACGATGAAGCATGTTGTCTAGTCTGTCTGTAGCGCATTCAATTTCCTAAACAACAGAAAAATACGAAATATAAACGTTGGGAACCTTTAAAACTGGAGAACACATAATGAACGAACTTGTATTAGCATCGAATGACTTCGAAGCATTCCACATAATGCCTCGTCGTCGGTCAATCCTAGACCAGACGTTCGAACGCTAGCTAGTGAAGATGCTTCAGAGGAATCACTGGGTGATGTAGGAATACCTTGTGGCAAAGTACGATAACTCACGTCAGATGAACACGGAGAATCCAATCTGTAACCAACCGTAGAATGAATGTTCCCACGCTATTTAGTCTACTTGGACACTTGCATGGTTCATTTCTATGCACAATGTAAGCATTAGCACAACTTCCGTTTGATTTGTTGGTCAAGTTCTATAAATACATTCCGAGAGTTGTGGTGTGTGAACCCTATCGTTTAAAGGTCGCAGCTGTACACCCAGAAATACGTACTTTATTCAGACGTGGTAAATCATGGGGACAGTACTTCAAATAAAATGTTCAGTTATTTCATGTACAAAAACGCTAGTATTTTCAGATGGTTGCTTATTTTATACTTGAACGGCCCGTTCTCACTGGTTGTGCGGACCCCAGCATAATCACCATTTTTTGGAGAATTACCAGTTAAGCCATTATGGTTCCCTGGAGTCCCGAAGTCAGCCTGGCCAAAGTGTGCCCCAGGTCTTCACCACCACGGGTAGTCGCAGCTCTTGCGGATCACAGGAAGATTCGCCACCATGCGACTTTGATACCACGATGGTGGTGAATCCTGATATTGGTTTGCTCTTAGCTAGGCTTCCTGATGAAAATGGTGGACTCTTCTCAGCTTGGGAGACCCTGTTGGGAAGACGAATCTCCCCGCTGTACATCGCAATCCGGCACCCAGGAACACCTCGATATCCCTGCCACGATAAGGCGGTAAACGTTGAGAGCGAGGGCAGTTTCAGATGGCTAGCCACAGATAAACGGAAAATGTCAATCAATCTAAAATGTATACTAATAGTTTGCCGAAAATAGCCCGTGACACATAAAGCCAACCATTTGAATAACTACATGGAAACATCAACTAAAGAGATTGCATTTGTCATCAGAATCTCTGCTACAACTTTCGAGACATAGTAAAAATCACCTATTGGTAGTCTAGTGACTGCAGTGGACATAAGGGCACAGATGTACTCAAGGGTTTTTTGTCAGACTACCCAGAATAGATGTGGGAGTATATAGAAGAGAAAACTCCGATCCGCCTATGTATTAAGCAGTAGTAGCGGGATACAATCCGCGTACACACAAGTCTACTCACACATGTATGCATGAAAATAATTATACACATACAGAAGGTATAAGTTAATTGGAAGCGACAGAAACAGAGAGGTTATTCCATAAATGTCCCTGTGTCGGAACGGAATTAAATATAATTCACTACGACTTTACATCCGCGTTTAACTTTCTATCCGTGACATGAGAACGCATTACACAGCCTCAAGCAAAGTTGGATCGAGAGCTCTTACATGTAGAAAACCAGTGCGGGGTAACCAGTAGAGTTTTCAGTTTGCATAGTCAAAGTCTGTTTATTCATAGTAATTCAAAACATTCATACTTAACAAGGGTAGTCGATTATGAAACGCTGTATACCTTTGATAAATAATAATGACTATCATCAAATTTTCTGGAGATGTTTGGAAATTTCTGTCACATTTTTTTGGTGAATATAACATAAGAAAAGTTTCCTGTAAAGTTCCAAGCCACCTACATTCCACCCTTTACTAACTCATGTTAAATCTAAGAGCTAGGACAAAAAACCGTGTGTATAGAATGCTGGAATCGCTTAATAATGTATCATTCCTTGTATTCAAAAGAAGAAGAAAACCCACTGAACAGAGCACGTTAATGGATCTGTTTCTCGTCTCTCACCACCTCTGATGAGCTGCTGAGCGAGCAGAATTACACCCGAGCCAAGTCCTGTGGGACGCTGAGGCCAATCAGAACAACCATTGGCATGCATTAAACATAGAACCGGATCAATCACGTCATCCTGAATCCCCTGATATGATCAATACCAGAAAAAACATCACTGAAATTGAAGAACTACTAACAGTTTCCTGACTGATTAAATATCTTCCGTCATCGTCCTCATACGGCGGAGGAGCTGTCGGCCGATACGGAGGTGGATTTGCCGGGGGTTCACGAGCGGACCCTAGAGAATTTTAAAAGACAGTTGATATGCTAGGAATAAGGCAAGAGAGCTATGTCATAACTTACTACCTCCCCCAATACTCCTCTGTTCGTGAATCGAATCTGAAATTCTTTCTAGATTCCGCAACGACGTGGTATAATCACTTTTTTTTTGTCGAACCTAAAAAACTACATAAAAACTGGATAACCACACACAGTATGCGAATTAAAAGCTCTATCAGGCTTTCCAATCTTTGATAGGTTAATATCGCTGAAGCGATAAAAAACACTGTTCTCTGCTAGATGTTAACAGCCCAATGGGTAGTATTTACAAAAGAACTCGGACAAGCAGTCGTAGCAGCAAGCACGCTTTTTCAAGTGTTTTGCACTAATTTTAGAAAGATTACAAATGAAGCAGTAGGTAAACATGGTTGTCTGTTTCGTTTTGTTGAAAATATAAAAGAAACCATCTGGCAATTAGGCGACAGCAATAAGACCCCTAAAAAAACGCATTCCGAGTTCCATCAAAACTCTTCGTAGATAGTCTTATTTCCTAAATATTGCATACAATAAAACACTATGAAAGAAGAGAAATTCGGCGGAGAGTGAAACATTGCGAAAGAAGTGATATATTGACAACCACGTTTGACCGTATCAAGAACACTGTAGCTTACTGATTAATGATCAGGTGAATGGAAAAATACATTTTTTGGTTTACACTAAGAAAATAAGCAGAACTACAAACAGAGAAAATCATTAACTTAAAAGAAGTAGATAAACAAAAGGATAAAGCTCTCTGTGTTAAACAATCCCTGAGGGAGGCGCCATGCATTCGATTTCATTCAGTATCGTTGGAGGTGATTAAATGCATATGCGGTCCTTACAATGACTCGCGGTGGTATTATCGAGCCAGTGTTGCTATCCTCCAAGACGACTTTGGTACCAATTTGCCGACCTCGGAGGGATGGAAGGTTTGTACTGAATACAGTTCCACAATTTCAATGAAAGAGTTGTCCTTTTTTGTCGTTCACAATTATCAAAACGACTGCTCATTGGACTGTTCAAAGTTCCAGACATATTCCATCACCATGCATAGGAGACGAGACGACAAGAGACGACTGGATCACTATAGCTCAAGTGAAACACCACATTTCACTCCTTTCGTAGAAGAGAATTCTCTACGGTAAAGCAGAGCTTTTACTTTTTTGTTGCACAAATATCAGTTGATCTTTAAAAGTAAGTCAGTAAGAAACATAAGTCAGAGGGAATAATACTTAATTTTCTTGTACCCTAATCACCTCAAGACTAAAAATATGGAGTTAATTTGTGGTGTTATTAATATGTAACACTTTTACTTTTTACTGGAAAACAAATTAGATGAAAATAATACAACTCAGCTAGCGATCTCTACCAATTCGCACATCTCCAAATCTACTAGCACCCATAACGATAATACAAGACAGAAATCCACTCCCAAAACTCCCAAACGTTATAAAATGTTGAAGATCTCCCGAAACGCAAGTATGACAGTTATATTCATATATATTTATTCATATTATTATTATTCATTACATTATTATTATATTTCATTATTACTATTTATTCATATATATTATTTATTCACATTCATTTATTTATTCATATTTTATATTCAAGGCCTCTAGAAAAAAAACCACTCTAAAGAGGTTTTAAAAGGAAACTAGCGATTCCGCTCCGATCTGCACTACCACCTCTGCCGATTCCGAAAAGTCAAGGTGGTAAGACACTAAGAACAAATGGCAATATCACATATGTGAGATCATACACAAATTCAAGCACAGCATCAATTCCAGTAGTTATATGTTAATCACCAACGCAGAGCAATCATATATCATTTAGAACTAATAAGTGTGATCGCTTCATGAGCTAATGCATTTATTTAGAGTGCAAGCTCGTCTTTTTTCTAACTATCTGTTCATAGTTCCCAGGATCGACTTTCTCTTAACCTCGGCATTGGAATATGAATGCGTCGTTTTCTTGTTCAGCAATCGCGAGGTTTTTAAACAGCATACATTTACTTCCGTAAAAACACAGTACAATACAACGCTAGCTGACGTTTCGGCAGTATCGCCTTCTTCAGAGCCGCTTTTTCGTGACTTCCAATGAGGAACTTCCTCATCATACATCATAAAAAAAATTCCTTCAGGAAATAACCTTTGCTTTCAAGGAGATGTGTAAAGCCTCATTTCACTCAGGTAATGATAGTAGCAGTGGGTACGTTTCCAATATAAAAATGTGACTTAAAATTTTCTCTTTAAAGAAGTACATTTAAATACGTTCACTAACTTATTGTTCTGAAATGTAGTAAAGGATATTTTTAACTCTGCTTAAATCACCAGAACAGCATTGTGCCTACATACAAACTTTACCACCAATTTTTGGCACGAAGAATTCTAATTGTTGCAACGGGTGAATGTTGATAACGCCTTATCATCTAAACAAAATCCTTATCTAAGGAAACTGGTAGCAATTTGACAAAAGAAGGATCCTCACAGAACAGTCTTGCTCAATAAACACAACACGGAAAAGAGTAAAACAGATCAATCACCTCAGACTCAAGCCTCAATATCAGCTCTTTTTGACGCTCCAGCACCCGAGTAAATTCCAACCGCTGGTCGAAATATGTGCGCGACTTCTTTATGGATGACCTACATGAGTCATGAATTTTCGTCCTCAAAGTTTTCTGTTTCATTACGAAAAAAGTAACAAAAACAGTTCCGTACCGTTGGTCTTTCTCCATTTTGCGGATTTCATCTGCCAAAGCCATTAAACGCTCAGATATTGCACGATGATCATCACCACTTGCTAACCGTTCTTCTTCTGCCTCATTTACTCGTTGGATATGATGATTGAGCACCTGAATAACACCTTATAGTGCCTAAATTGCACAAGGCTCTGACGCTCGGGGATACATTACGTACAACTCAGTGAACTGGCAAGGGGATAGCCACTAGAACAAAGTCTCACAATCGTTTTTATATCTAGAATGAAAATTCCAGTTCTCAGTCTAGACTTTTAATCTAATGGAAATACACAAGTGACTTTTTTGCCCTTTGCTTTAAAAAAGAAATAGACAAACGTTTCGAGTTCTTGAGTGAACAACAAGAGCAAATAAAATGCACCCAAGAGAAACTAAAAAACTGGCTTCCATTTTTGAGCGGTCTAGTTGACGTGCTCAAAAACGACCATGTCACAGAGTGGTGCCGAATGCCAACTAATAAAAAGCCGCTGGCTCATTCATTACCCCTTCTCATATTTTTCACATAAAAAGAGGGAGCGAATGAAAAACACTTTTCGAGCAGCCACCATGTGTATACAGGTAGACAGCAGAACGAAGAATCCCTTTCCGCGGCAAACAGCTGTCCTCGATGACTACGAAACAGTAGCATCTCATAAGAGGTTTATGGGAAAAGCCACGCTCCAAACGATAAATCCATCGAAATTAGGGTTAGATATAAATAACTTGTGCTTTATATCCAACGAAGTAAGCGGTTATAAACCGATGTACGTATGAAACGGACCGGTGTGCAGAAGATCGCAGCCATTGAATTGTCGCCAAACTTTTTCGGATAGAAATTGGTTCGAAACCGCTTGCACGAGTGTTAAAACCTGCCACATCTGCGTCAACGACAGAGATGGTATTTGCATGAGTTCGGGTACAGTGTATCTGATCTCTGGCAAAGTGTGCAGGGACGAATAGGTTTGCCGAAACGACTAGATTACACTGTGTTCAAAAAAAAGTACTTGTGTGAAAGACATAGAGTCACTAGATTCGCGAAGAAGCAGGTTTTTGACAATAGACGAAGAATTATTCATTGACAGAATGGTGGAAAACATGAGGACTTTACAGTTCTATAGAAAGAGACTTTATGAAATATTCTTTCAACTTCAGATTTGTTCCGAAGTAAAGTCCTTGAAAAATTAAAAATGAAGTTAAAACTCTTAAAACTTGACAAGGCACCGCGGCAGAAGAAGCAAATAACTATACATCGGTGAAAACCGGCGTCCACTGGATTCCTCATGTCCAATCGCTTCGGTATTCGAAATACAAGGTTTCACGCAAAAAAAAAACTAAAAAAAAACCACTGGTGCTTTTCAGAATACCAAAATTTAATCTCTGTAAAGTAAAACTGATGTCTGGGAAGGAACGATCCATTGACTTCAACGGTTTTTTACTTAATAAGTTTCACTATGACATGATTGGTTTAAAGCTGAAAGCAGCCATTATTTTCGCATCCTATGACTCCCGTATGGGATCGTGCTATTGCAAAAGTGTTAAATAAAGTGCTTCACTAAATAAGCATAGCACACAAAAGCATGGTGGAGAAGATTTTAAAGCCTATGTCAATGTTGGTAAATAATTCATTGAATTTTCAACAAACATACTAAACGATTGTTCCAAAGCATCAACAGAATGCAAAACAGATTACAAACGTATTGAAAGAAAAGCTATTTGCACCAAAGGGAACATGTATCAGACCAGAATGGTACATTCGACTGAAAGAGTGCGTCACCCAGCGGCCGACTGCCATTTCATCTCAACCCTCATGTTCGAAGACAGCAAATCTTTGTATATATCGAATAGGTGGCAACCACTAGTACAGCAAGTATAGAATAAAAACTTCACTTAAAAAGGCAATAAGTCCTAGCTAACCGTTATCGAAGCACTCACTTCAAGGCATTCTGGATGAACCGTTGTCTGACGATTAAGGCTATCTTGAGTTAATGCCACTTGTTGTTTGGCAACGGCTAGTAACGATGTGGCACGTTCGAAGCGAATCGCTGCTCGTAGTGATTCATCGCGCAACTTTCGCTCCTGGAAAGTGCGTCAACTAAGTACTGGTTCGATTGCACACCGATAATTTCTAAACCACAGCCACAACCAGTCTCAACAAATATTAAATTGAATTTTCATCACTTTAGCATAATTCCACATATATCGAAAGGAAAAAATCATACTAATACATCTGTCATAAGAAATAAAAGTGTGTCAAACACGGAAAACGTTGAGTTCTGCTCAAAACTTTTCCTCGTCCCAGTTTTATTTATTCAGAGTACGATACGTACAAAGCCGATATCAAGTTGTGTGAACGGATTGCCGAAAACTGAAGTGACTCTTCGTTGCACCTTTGCCAGCATGCGCTTCCGAATCGATCCCATACTTAGAGTCTACTATAAACATGGTCCATTTTGACGACAGCGGGCAAAGTTTATCATGACTCATCATATTTATGCAGTCTTACTAGTACTAAATGCCGCTAAACTTCCTGCGGTATAGAATGTGTTGTTCAGATGTTGAGCAACATTTGTTATCGGCGGTGAAAGAGCGAACAATTGAACAGGATGTTTCAAGCAATTTCCCAACAATATAACAAACGTTCGCCGTTTTTTGTTATAGAAAGGTATCAGGAATGATCTATCTAATTGATTTGTTCCACATTCACTTGTTTTACTGACGTTTTGAGCATAAAAGATTAGTGCATATGCAAATCTTGAAAAAACAGCTGTCAGTGTTGATCAATGTCTGAGGGATGCGCCATGCATTTGACTTCATTAAGCATCGTTGGAAGTGATTGAAGGTATATCTGGCCTTTACAATGATTCGCGGTGGCCTACCGATGTATCGAGCCAGTGCTGCCATTCTCCCAGACAAGTCTGGTACCGATTTGCCCAGCTCGGAGGGATGGAAGTCTTGGTGAGCCACGGGCGCGGGGACCGATCCCATATGTGCGTCGCAGAGCGCCTTCGATCATTGCGCCACACGCGCCCTTATGAAAATATAGTAGTTAAATAACAAAAGCTAAATCGGGATAACAGCATTAATCAAAACGGACGAAAAAGGCTCAGAAAGACGTGCGATCACATGAAATAGAAGCATACGAATGCTACCAAATATGATACGAATAAGAATAACAGGGTAATCAGGATGAAACTCTGCAGTACGAGAGTTTCAGGAGTACTTTATGCCAGTATAAATGTTTAGATGTAAATGTTCTATTCAACGTTTGAACGCGCGGACTTCTCTCCATATCTTCGCACCGATGCCTACTGCTAGTTTGCAATCCTGAATGCTCTATTGTACCATTGTGGTTGTGGTGTGTTCCTAGGTACTGAACGTACATAGCGGGGATTCATCCACACTGCAAAACCTTCAAGCTGAGGACTCTGATATTTCTTTATGGAATGGTAACTAAGGGCAAACAAGTGTTAGGAATCTTCAACGTAATGGAAGAATCGTTGCAAGGAGATGGTTTCTATATGAAAATTAACCACAATGTGCGCAATACCAGGCAAAGACAACGAAATCCTACCAAAGTGCTCCCGAAAGCCAAATTCGTACCGAAAAAGATTACGATAACTGTTCTGTGGTTGGCGAAAGAAACGCTTCGTACAATTTAACTAGTCCTATCTAAGTCATTATAACAGCGAACTATTACTAGAAAACCGATAAAATGCACCAAGAGCTGCAACCAGTTCCACAAACACAACCGGAAAGCTTCGTTTCTACGAGTACGAACGTTTTCACGTTTCTTTATGAGAACCACTGAACTACCTATCTACAGCACGAAACTAGTCACATCGGCTTTACTTGCCAGACATTTCAGCAACAAATCACCACTTTTTGGAGGTCTGCATAGCTTTGTTCACAATGAAACACTTGCCGGTAAAGAAACCTCCGAAAGGCCTTAAACAGATTCAGCTGTAGTATTCAGAAATCTAAGTATTCATATATATATATATATATATATATATATATAATCCCTTAGCTTTCATTATATCGACAAAGGTTAATTTATTAACTCGAATTTTAATAAAGTTCCAAAGTTTTAAACTTTGTACTCATAATCGAATATTTCGTACTGAGTTTTTGTAATACAGGGCAACTGGTTACTTGAATTTTAGCTTCGTAGTATGGACGAGCTTTAGCAATAGCTGAACTGTATTTCTTCGAGAGTTCTTTCAACTTCTCAGACCAGCTTGTCTGTATTTCCCTGAAATGAAAAAAAAAATACATCCTCTGATTCGTCGTTACGTAGGCAAATGTGTAACTATTGAGGCTATTTGAATATTGGTAGCATTGTGAAAGTTCAATAATATACGAATCGCTGAAAGACGAGTTTTTGAGCCGCTGAATGTTTGTTGTGTTCGTCGAGCACTTAAAACCAAAAACAAATACGAATGGACAAGTGGGTAAACTGTGGATGTTGGTCAGCAGCACCTACGCGTGTCTAAATCGCCACAAGCATCAGATTTCGCACGGATTTTCACTTGTACCAATGGCAAAGTGGTAAAAGTAGGTAATTACTAGAGGAAAGAAAACCACTAAACATGAGGAAGCGGAATGGATGAGCTGTTACCTAAAACACACTCGGGCGGCGTCAAGCTGTACTTCTAGCTTATTAATGACGTCCGTGGCAATGTTGAGTTTCTCCAGCTCTTCATGAACGAGATTTAGATGTTTCTGATCAAGTGGTGTATCGTCGTCTTCTAATTCCGAGTAGTTAAGCACACTTTCCGCGCGTGAATCTTAAGAAGTCACTTCAATGTGAGAAATAGGCCATTAAAGTGTGTGGCATTTCGAAGAAAACTACTTTTATATAGCAAAGTAATTTACTAGGACACTTTAAGGAGAAGCAACATCCATTTGTAAGGAAACTTATACAAATAAGAAGTATCATATAGAGATTGTACGTCTAATAGGAGGTGAATCGACCACGACGTAGAAACGAACGCATGTACAGTAGGCAGTAGTGGAAATGAAGACGAAAGGAACGATAAGAAAAAATCACTAAAAAGCAGTGAAAATCGAGGAATAATTATGAGTGAATGATTCCAAGAGACATACCTGAACGGAGAGAAAGTGCTTTCGCATTCGATCCGACGCCTAATATACGAGCGTCATCGTCAGCGTCCAGTTCCGGCATTGAAAAATACTGATTTCACAAATTGGGCAAGTTGGCAGAGAGGGCAGAAGTAGGTATCACAACCAGATACGTTACTTCTTACGTAAGAAGCATGAGTAGCATTATCACTGAAAAGTATGTCTTAATCTCATCTTAATGTGAGGCGGTTAACATTACGACGAAAAATCGAACTTAAGGAAAAAAAAGTAAATGAAGACAAGCGTGAGAATTTTGGGATCCTCAAGCCCAAAAACATTTCTTTTAGCTGGAAACTACTTTAGTATGAGTAAAAAACCATTACAGAGTACATACAATGAAGCAGTGTGACATGAGAAAACACGCTGTTTGTTTGAAAATAAGTCAGTTGCTGTGTAACAAGTGTTACGCAGTTGCTAGTCATCAAGGGAAGGTGTTCACTAATTTGATCAATAGGCAATGAAAAAAAGGAACATTAGGAGGACGAGATGGGAAGTAACGACGGTTGAAGTGTTCAGAAATCGAAGGAAAACGACACGAAAAAAAAGATAAAAACAGGCGGGTTGGATATCGGAGCTCAATGGACGGAAGAATGGCTGAGGTACGTGTACGCAGAATTACTGGGCATGATTTATGGAGCATAGCGCAGTTACGGGCTGTTCGACGACCTCCATCGAACTGGAAACACAGCGCACGATCTACGCTGTGGGCGGGACCGCCACGGCGAGCACGACGGGCGAGTTCGTGCCGCCGGCGCGACGACGGCGACCATGCGGAGTGTGTCGCAGTAGCGTTCCTTCGAGTGTCGATGTTCACATGCGGTGGTTATCCTCTGCTCTTATTACCCTGGAAAAACAATCGTGGAACGATTAACTCAGGCCCTATTCAGCGGGTAGGCACATTGGGCACGGCAATAATAGGTTCGCTTCAGAATTTACATTTAAATGAAGCGTAATCATCTTTGTTTTTTTTGTTACATATAAGGAACGGCGCTAACATTTTTCTTCCTCTCTAAATTCCAGCCTGGCACAACTTTAGTTGCTGAGATAACTCAATGAATTCTGAACTATATTCGGTCATTATGAGTACATAAAGACTCACTCTGAAACTGGAACGCAAACACAAGCCTAGACTGGATAGTACACGCGCGTGGATGTCTGACTGCCAAGCAGTCATTCGTTGACGGTCACATGACTAAGAAGTTGACCTCTTTACACAAAGGCGGAAAAAGAACGTTTTATCTTATCGAAACGGCGTCACGTTCACTGGCTCCTAGTCGGAATTACTGACGTCATGCATTATCTTCCTCCATCTAAACCAGATTCAATCAAGCAATTTGCATATCCGGTACTCAGCAGCTTCACACGAAGAAGAAAAAAACGCGTTTGGTTGTTACATTTCAAAGTTTTCAGACGGGTAATATGAGCAAGGCGATGGTTTCAACACGCGGAAGTAAGGTGAAACGCGTTTCAGCGCCAGGAAAATTAAATAACAATATTCGGTTAAATTAAATAAAAGAATGAATGAGTGGACGAGAAATCAGCCATATTGCATCGGATATAATGGAGAACGTGAACGTGAGTGAGCTGAGAACTTCTCACTGCCAAAGTACAATGACCAATTACGACGAAAGTTGAAAAATCGGTCGTCAGTTCGGCCGTCATGCCGTCCGGCAAAAAGGGCGAAGACAAATCGAGGAGATATGGTAAAAATGCGTCTAAGTGCTATTTCCGAGCCACATTATAAAACAGTCAATGCTTGCTTGATTAGACGGTTATTCTCACTTTTATGAACGTGGGTAATTAAAACATTCCATAGTCAGGTAGGAAAGGCAGGATAGTGAAAATTACTTTTCCATGCAAGTGAAGAGCTGCTGGAAACGCTTTCAAAACACGAAAAAAAGGGACACTGACAATTCGTACAGTCGAAGACAGGATTATATGAAAAAAAAAGCAATGAAAAGTTAAGCGTTGCTAAGCACCCATGCTTCTAAGGGATTAAACGTGACTTGTCGATAATATTCTAGTGGTGAAGTAAAATGAATTTGACAGCACGGATTCCACAATGACACTGAACATAGTGACCAACATAGAAAAAAGAAAACTTTAGGACTTCAAAAACGTAATGTGTTAAGTCTCTGAGAACGAGATGTCAGCCATATGAAGCTTACTTGGATACATGGATGGCCAGTCACTGGTTGCGTAGGCCCCAACATAATTTCCATTTTTTCGGGGTTTTATTGGCTTAGCAATCGTAGTTTCCCGGATTCTCGAGGTCACTCTAACCAAGGTATTTCTCAGGTCGTTACCACCACAGACACACGCCGTCCATGTGGATCAAAGGGGGATTTGCCACCATGCGATTAGTTTGATACCAGGACGGTAGTGGATCCTGGTATTGGTTTACTATCGGCTCGGTTTCCTGATGGAAACGCCGGATTCATTCTGAGCTTGGTAGGCCCAGCTGAGGAATGAATCCACCCTCTGTACATCGCAGTTCGACACCCAGGAACACCTCTCAGCCACGATAAGACGGTAAACTGTTTGGAGGACATGGAGCTTAACAAAACTCAAATTCTTACCAACCTAAAAATGCTTCCGGGTGAGATGAATAAACCAGAGCGGTGTTTCCTTTTCTAGAAATTATTGATTCTAGTCATGAATTATTGGATATATGAGATCAATTGTGAACAACGATTACGAAAACAGTGAAGTAGACACAGCAAAGTGTCCTAAATTTAATTAATTTACACCTAGGCTATTCTTCTCCTTTAAAAGAGCAACACCTGAAGCGGAACAAGCTTTACCTTCGTTTAGGTGAACAAATCTTCACATCACTTCATTTTCAAAAAATTCATTTCAAATAAAAATTAACTGAAAGGCGAATACTCGTTTCCTTCTTCGCCTAGCTGTTTATCTCTGAAAACCTCCATCTACAAAGAATCGGGGAAGAAAAGTTATTTCAGTATGACAAGCATGCACTTCACGACCTCGACTTTGTTCCCAAGAAAAACAGCATATATGAATGAACAAAACAAGAGCTCTAAGAAGGTGGGTGGTCAGACTCTAAGCACACACCAAATAACATCGCCTCCAAACCATGCAATATCAAATAACGTGAGGTGAAAATACATGTGCACGTGAGAACTTAAGAACTTGTTCTGAGATGTCTTTAGCACTTAAGGATTCAAAGGTACATACGTGGAATGTGCTGGAAACTTTGACAGGACGGAAAAAGACGATTTCACGACAAGAAATACCGAGTGGTAGGTGCGTTTTTATCGGGTAGAGGAGTGGTTCAACGGTGGTTCACAGCCGATCGATACCCGTCTGAGGCGCAGGCCGTCGGGCGGTGACCTCAGCACCGCTCTGAACCTCCACCGACACCCGTCGACGTGTGTCGCCGTCTGTCGAAGTAGGTCCAGTCCACAACATGTGAACACCGTCAGTGTAAAGAAGTAGTTTTTCTCGTGCTTAATCGCCTTCCTCTATCGTGACGACAAATAACCACTTGTTTGAAACACTAGTTCAGATAGAGATTAGATTGCACAAAAGTACAACCAACGTTGACTAGCACATATGCCGAAATCATTCGGTAAAATATAACAATCGCTGATGCAGTACAATTTCGTATCCGATGCAACTTAGCCTTCTCCTGCTTAGGGCGCTCTATGGAACCAAGGTAGTGCAGTTGCTAAAGATGCCATTGGTTCGAACCCTCCTGTGTGAAGTAAACCACCCTATACGCCTTGTGTAATCCAGTCAGCACTGAAATCGTTTAAAAAAGGTCGTCCCCTTATGAAAAAACAGGTGATTGGTTGTGACGAGGACCTGGGAATGAGGTAGTAAAGCTATCCAATTATTCCACTGAGAATTCACTTCATAATTCAGAATAATTCATCGACGTTAATGAAAAATACGAAATCGTCACGTATCAAAAGAACAAGCGCACAGCTCCGAAGATTGTCGAAGATGATAGGTGCGAGGAAACAAAGAACTTCTGAACTCCACAAAATATGTGGTGATGAGTTATAGAGATAAAATACGAAGCAAAAGTTCATCGAAGATGTAGTAAATATCAGACATTGTGGATATCATAGATATGTGCGAAAAGAATGCAGTAACATCAAGAAGGGTTTTGTCTAATTGCGGTAAGGGTGCTGCTTATTGAAGTAAACCCAATAAAAATGTAGACGAGCGAATGGGAAGGAAAGCGAAAAAGACAAGGGGCGTTCAAGTGAAAGGCACATATTTTTTTAAAAAGCAAACATTGAAAAAGGCATGAAAGATAAGGATAAAGTGAAGACGTGTTTTCTCTGTCACTACGACGATCACAGCGCATTTTTTGCCATTGTCATTGTGAGAGGACAGAGGTTCTTGATTTTCGATTATAACATCTCCGAGGCTTAGGAATCAGATCCAAAACCGGCTTTTTGGTCATGCATGATATATGTCATAGATTCCATTTGCGCTCACTATTAGACTAAGCCAAATGTTTTGCAACATTCAAAGCAATACATGAAAAGTTTCAAATTAGTAGTCTACTGAATAGACTTAGTAAGTAAAATATTTACATAGCACGCGCTTTATGGTGACTGAGGAAGGAAATTGTATTAAGTTCAGTGGGTTACTGCTTCTTTATCTACACGAGAAAGATTGCACCTCAGCCGGTAGTTGTTTATTAAAAGTATTCTAAGGATGCTCAATGCTCTTCACTTCCTCAAATAAAAAAAAGAGCTTTACACTTTTGGTAAGATATCTTTCTCAGTGGTTCCAGGTAGAATCTAACCATACATTGTTCGATCGATACTTTTATGGATCATTTTACCCTTGGTTGTTTTTCTCTTTTAAAAAGGGGCAGTGATACCTGAATCGATATTCGCAGGAATCAGGAGCTTCCGAGTTTTCCATGGAATTTTTA